TAACAATTCGTATTCCAAAAGGCACACTTCATTAAGGACATTCTGGCTACGACTAATGGAATTTCAGTTATTTAAACTTTTTCCGCTATTTAAACTTTTTAGTCACTTTTTTCCTATTGAAAATGAATGGGGCTATTTTCAACAACCTTAAAATCCTTCAAAGTGTTTCTAAAGCTTTACAAAACCTTACACAGTTTGTTCTGGTTATGTTCTTTTTTACTCCCTTGTGCAAATTTTAGCTACTTTTTTGTTAATTTTAGCTTTTTTCTGCTATTTCAGCTAAAATTTTTCTTCCTACTATTATTCTGCTTTTCTTTACTTTTTGTGCTTTTTTCTGCGACTTTGTGCTGTTTATGCTTGTTACAGATGCCTTCTGCTATATTCAGCTATTGGCTGCACTTTTAGCTAATGTTCAGCTGGTATTAGCTAAAGTTAGCTTTTTTCAGCTAAATACGTATTTTTGTAGCTGATACAACTTTTTTCGGATGAGTTCATCAAATTTGTGCTCCTTATGCTTCCTTATGCTAATTAAAATATTCCCAGCTACTTTTTAGCCATTTTACTGAAAACGTCTGCTATTAWAAGCAAAAAACTGGTATTTTGGTAGCTGAGACTTAGCTCTACCACAAATAGCAGCAGAAAAAAAATCTAAGATGGCCACYAAAGCTAGTTTCAAATTACTTTAACTTGGCTAATTTTCAATGTAATGAGCTGGTATAGAGTGAGCTCTATCACAGAAGATGGCTGCCAAAGCTAGTTTTAAAGGGCTTTTTACACAGCCAACGTTTGATATATTGACGTAAAAACCRRTGAATTGGTAGCTGAGAGCAAGCTCTGTCACAAACTAGAGCTGAAAAAAAAAATCCAGTATWGTAGTCAAAGGTATTTYGGCTAATTTTTCCCATTGAAAATGAATAGACCTTTCGGCATCCTTAAACTCCTTAAACTTGTTTCTAAATCTTTACAGAACCTTATACATTTTGTTCTGGTTCTGCTCATTTTAAGTACTTTCTGCTAATTTTAACAACTTTTTTGCTAATTTTAGCTTTTTTGCTATAATTCAGCTTCTTTCTGCTATTCTTCTGCTAATTTCTGCATCTTCTGTGCTTTTTTCTGCTAATTTGAGCTATTCATGCTCCTCACACTTGCTTTCTGCTATACTGAGCTATTTTAGCTTTTAGCTTTTTTCTACTATTTCAGCTAAATTTTGCTCCTTTTTCCATTTTTCTGCAAAGTTAAGCTTTTTTTTCCTCTTCTTTCAGCTTTTCAAATTGAACTTACATTAACACTATTGCCAATAAATATTTTCAGCTTAATTTTATCAGCTTTCAGCTAAATGTTTCAGCAAACAGCATTCACACTAGCATTTTCACAGAAAATGCAATTTCTCTGGTTGGTATTAGTTTTTATGTTCTGCACAATAATGGGTTGAAACAATCAAACTGAATCAAAATGATGTTTTATGATGTCCTATGCTACAACTAGTTGGAGTTTCCTATAAAACTGATGGGCTAACAGCTAATAGCARCACAGCCAAAACAAATGTGTTTTGCTGCCGTATTAAAACAACTGCTATCTCAGAGATTTCTTTTGCAGTTTATTGGAACACTGTTTTAATAACGTTTACATCACCATCAGTGAGAATGGTTTTTAAATATGAAATTCAAATTGGGTAGTTCCAGAGCAAAACAAAGAGCATGATTGAAGCTATACAGTAAATGTAACAATGACCAGTGAAACTCTTAGTATGTTAGTTATTATGCTCTAATATTATGTTCTTATATTTTTTCACTGTAGGACGATCAGTCCAATGGAAAGGCAGGTCTCCCAGTGTCAAAGTGTCTGAGCCAGCTGAGTCTGATGGTCCCGGCGCCCGTCTACCCACGCAGCAGCTGCAGCAGCAGTGAGCTGTCCCTGTCAAGTGCATGCAGTGAATTCTCCAGCGGCTCGTACACCTGGAATGATGGACGCTCCTGTGGGAAAATGGTAAATCCTTTCACTCAGTTAAAAAAAAACACAAACACATCAGTTCCGCAAAAACAATCACAAATGGCAGCTCATCACGAGATGAAGCCCTAATTAATCCCTTATCTTTATACAAGAGTTTGATGACTGTGACTTTAAATGGTGCTATTTTAAAGTCCAATTATTAAAAACTTTAACTTAAAATGTGTACTTTTAATTCTAGAACTTCAAGTCAGTGCAATTAGCACAGCTTTGACCTGTGTTTTCTTTGTCCTGAAGTCATCTCTAACCTGGGAGAAGAGGCTGAGTTTGGGTTCGTCAGCTCCAAGTAATATCTGTGCGCCTCCAGAGGAGCAGCCACCCACGAGGTATAAAGAGAGCCACATCTTAGAAGGACTGAGGAAACTCCAAAGGAGAAAACACAGGAACTCCTCCAGTTCGTCTAAGGTCTCCAGGTCAGGTTACAAAGACTGCATGAACTCCAACGAGGGCATCTACTCTCTGGGCATCAAGAGTAGCAGCAAAGGGGTTTCGAAGTCAAGCCATGTTGTCAGAACTTCAGCTGCTCGATGCAAGCAGTTCTTCTATGATTCTGATGATGCTGATGATGAATTGGCACAATCCAGCTGTAGGGATAACATCCCCACCAAGGACTGTTGGTTTCAATGTAAGAGGCTCTCCCACAGCATCTCRGACAGTTTGTGTAGCTGGGAGGGGACGCAGGAAAGTGGGGCTGGAGGTGATGGTACCTCTGTTCCTGCRGCTGAGAAACCCTGTTTGTCTGACTCAAAAGAGCATCCAGAGAAGCTTGTGAGCTTCATTAACAGTTTTCTACCTGAAGGGGGACACAAATCAGCTTTTAGTAAACCATCCAAACTACACTTCCACCCCTCTGATCCAGAAAGACCAAAACGCCTCTCTGACATGGATKTCTCAGAACTCAAGCCTGAGTACAGCGATGTCCAAATGTCTCAGCCACCSGAGCAAGCTGAGAGGGACCTCAGGAGGCTGTCCCGGGAYGCTGCCAAGCTCCTCAAACAAAAATACTTACGTCGGGATCAGGGACGCACCCAGTCAGCTGATGGGCGGCCAACACCTTTCAGCCTGTTGAAGGAGCCGAAAGAAACTAAGTGCACCCAGTCCGAAGAGAGTATATTAGCAATATTTGATGCAGAAGGAGAGCCTATTGAACTGTGTCCCCAGAAGCTTGTAGCAGGTACAGACCATGTACAAAGCATCAAAGTGGTTCCTAATTATGCAGAGCTAGTACCCCAAGAGAGGCCAACAAGGCAAAAATCTGCAAATGCAAGAAACTATAGTGTTCTTGAATCTCCAGAAAAGCCCTCAGAATGTGAGACTAGCAATACAAGCAACAGCAGGGAGGGAAGTGCRGAGAGGCTGTCAATGGAGCTGACTCCTCAGAGGAAACTAATCAAACCTCCGAGCAGCCGAGTGAGTAAAGTCCACTCCATCCCTGCAGTGGGCGATGCCAAGTCCAGCAGTTCAAAGATTCCTGGTCGTAACAAACCATCAGCRTCGCCATTGAGACAGTCTAAAACAACTGAGCCGAGTAATAATGGACACTCAGGACCCCCAGCTGAGGAGAAGTTCTCCTCTTCTCCAGCAGTGAAAATGTCCAGATTTATTAAGACACAGGGAACTTGTTCACAAAGCCCAAAGGTTATAAACTCCAAGCTCACCAACAGGGTCGAGTGGAGCAAGGGTCCCTCTTCCAGCTCCCCCCMGCTTCCGAGGAGGCACCTGGAATATGCAGACACTAGTGAGCAACCAACTAGAGACAAACACTGTGAACCCATCAAAAACAAACTCAGGTCTCCCTCTCCTCCCCTTCCCCCAGGCCGCACCACCTCCTTACTGATCAGACCAAATTACGAAGGTTCGCCTCAAGCACATAAAACGGGGATGGCTCAACCATCCACACCAACCACTGGGAGGGGCCCTCCCCCAAGTTACCACACTTCACTCGCACCAAATATGCAAACCACTTTACCCATCAAGGATAAAGACTGCTCAGACCTGGACGCAGGCTATGGAACTGCACTTGCACCTCAGAAGCTGGCAGAGAAAKCCTGTCAGCACCTTCAAAAGTCCCTCGTCATGACTCAGACACCCACTAAAGGCACTTCCAAACGTACGAAAGACTACCTCCCTTCTGCAAACTCAGGGTGTGCTCGAGAACCTGAAAATGCACCTAGAAGCTCAAAGAATGTCCCCCCTCCCTACAGTGCCCTCAGAGGGTCTTCCCTTCAGAYTTCATTTGCGAATAAAAAAGGACCTGCTCATGAAAACACCCATCAGTCAGTGCAAAAGACCTCCATTAGTTTACCTATATCCCTTCAAGACCCCCCTCAATGTCAGACAGAACCGCAGGATGGCAAAGCTGTTGTCAGCCCTCCCAACTCTGCTGTTATGTCACCTAACCAAGCCGAAAGAGCCTCAAAGACTCGAATTCCAATGGGATTTAAAGCCTTTTTGAAATCCCCTCCTACCAATAAAAGTGGTCCTACTGTACCGGGCAAACAAGARAAAGATCATATCAACTCTGTCTCCAAGGGGACTGCGACTTCAAATGCTTCAACCCAGTGTGACAGCCTGCAAGCGGCATATAATATTGATTCACCACCCAAGGTGTCTGCTGCAGAGGGGAAAGGTGAGGTCCAGTGTCGCCTGCAGGAAGAGGATKTACACACTGCTGTATTGTCAGAGGAGGGGGATGCTTGCGATAAGGGGAAAAGGAGTAGTCAACTTTTTGGTAGATCCATATCTGTTAATACAAAAACCCATCTAAAGCCAGCTTTGGGGATGAACGGAGCCAAAGCGCGTAGCCAGAGCTTCAGCACCAACTACATTGAGAAACCCAGTGTCAATGTGCTGGAAGGGCCAGGGAGAATCCGAACGCAAATAATCACCAACTCCAGTGAGAGGGGGAATTCTCTGACAAGACAAARTTCTTTAGAAGCACCCATGGTACGGGTGGCTGAGAGCCCTATCCATTCCCCCCGGACAAGGCTCAGTCTCTACGGAGGAATGACAGGGTCAAATAGTCACAATGTCCTCCCAGAGAAAACGCCCAAATCAGGCTCTGCAGGTGATGGATTGCTAGACGGAGGGAAAGGGGAGGGCGCCACCTCACCTTCTCATAAAGGGGCAAGGAGTTTACCCGTAAGCGAAAGGAATAGTTTCAACAATATCCGAAAACCATCAAAAGTAGCCTCTCATCCACAGTTTCAGCCTCYGTCCAGTTCTGTTTATAACTGGGAAAGCCCTTCAAAGGAGACCGAAGGCGTAGCGACCACCCCTAATGAGCAAGTAAAAACTAAGACGGAGTCACCCAGCAAACCCACAGACACGGAGGAGAAAAAGATCAGCCCGACAGCGTGCACCATCGAAGAGAAAGTCATGATGGGCATTGAGGAGAATTTGCAGAAATGCCAAGAGCAGGAGAAGGTAGCCGCCAGCGAGGCCAAACAGAAGACGGGGCCTTCGCTGGCGAACTGGTTCGGCCTCCGCAGGAGCAAACTCCCAGCTCTGAGCGGCAAAAAGGCCGACTCCCCCAAAGGAAAAGAGGAGAAGAAAGAACTGAAGATCGGCTCGGTACTCGGAGGCAAACAGTTGAAGTMTGACAAGAAGAAGGAGAAGAAGAAAGAGAGCCAGGACATGCCCAATCTGTCTGAGATGAACAATAAGCTGAGCTCCATCATGGACCATTGCAACAACCAGATGGGTCAGTTTGCCAGTCAGATCCAGTGTACAACCGCCTTTATCGGCAAAGACCAGTTCGTCAAGGACCTTCTTGGCAGGTGAGTAATGCAGCTTCTTTGTCATTGAGAAAATTAAGCATATATTATCTTTAATTAATAGGATGCTGCGCTGATTACTTCCTGTCGCTTCCCAGAGCTGTCTTTCCGTCAGGAGAATTGACGCCTTAAAACAAATCTCTTAAATTAAACATGAGCCGTCACTTAATTACACTTAAACATCGGCTGTCGGTTTGACTCCGCTCGGGCGAGCATAAACAGCTCTTGATCCAGCGATTGTCAGACTCAGAGTGAAGTATGTTTAAGCTAAGAAAAGCTCAACATGTCTCACTTCTCCCTTCATTGATTTTCCACTCCAAATCCCAGCTGACGGATTTTTCTTCTCTCCACACAAAGACGAGCCTGTTTGCGGAGGCTGTGAAACATTAAATGGCTTCTCTTGTGTTTATGCTTTGCAAAACGGAAGAGGCAGGTCAATGCAATTTGTTTCTTCACAGGACCGCTGTGAAGGTCGGCTCCGTGGCCGCGCCGCCGCCTGCCGTCTCCACGCCCAAGAAACACGGCGAGCTGAAGGGCGACATGCAGATCTGTCCAGACGCTGCTGTGAGTGACTTTAACTTTGACTTCATATTAATGTGAAGATGTGCAAATTCCCTCTGGTTTTTGAACACTTTTGTTCACAAACATAKACACCTCTTCAGCATCACATCCCCAGGAGGCTTGCTATTGATCGTGTTCTGACTCAGCCTACAGTAAAAATCCTGTTTGTTTGTTTATTTATTTATTTATTACGCCAACACAGGCTGATGTTGTGTTTCCACAAGTTTTTCAATCTACTCCTCCGTTAAAAATAATCACGCTGGTGATAGAGTCATAAATTAACGGCACAGCRTTGCTTGAAGAAATGCATATCACCCGCTGCCCCTTCATGCCAGTTTTGAGGTCATCTTATGATGCAAAGTTGTGGCTGTTTTAGTCAAACCTTTGTAAATAAAATTAGGCTCGAGCTCACGGTATGTTTTGGGAGTGACTCTCAGCTACCATCACACAAAGTTTTAGCTAAAACAGAAAACTGACCAAGTTATAGCTACTTTTGTAAAGGCTCAGGTCCACTAGTTGTGGTGGCCATCTTGAATTAGTTCATCAGTTGTAGACGTACATCCAATCATTACTCTGAGAGTTTCAGTCAAATCTGTCCAGTGAGACAAACAGTCACGTGGCGGAGGACCAGGGACAACAGTTTATAGTAACACGTGTATGCTCAGCTACTGCCRACCAAATTTTACCTCCGTATCCCTAAAACAGGCTGTGTTGCAGACATTTTTGTATTTATTATGGTTAGTTGCCTGTGGTGGCCTTCTTCAATTAGTTTGACTCCAAAAGTTAATTAGTTGTAGATCCAGGGATCGCTCTGTGRGGAGGTCGTACCTGTGTTCCCCTGATCCTGGTGCTCCTTGGTAAAATCAGTATTAAGTATTTCTATAATTCGGTATTTTAGGTATCAGAGAAAATGGGTACATTAAGCAGGGTTCCTACGGGTCCTTGAAATCCTTGAAAGTTTGTGAATTTGAAAAAATGATTTCAAGGCCCTGGAAAGTTCATGAAAACAGCCAAAAGTTACACTTGTCCTTGAAAGTGCTTGAATGTTTTTTGGGGATTGAAATTCTCTATTCACATGACTGATTTTCATCATATTTTAAAAAAACAAATTATTTAATTAAATTACTTACACTTGTTGCCGTTGATTACTCAGGATTACAGTAAACTGGCATCATTGTTTCTGACTCAACAACTTCTATGTTGTTCTGTTTTTCATTGAATTTACATTATATGAAACCTGTTTATTGGTAACATTCTGTAGTAGCAGCAGGTAATTGCCGTTATGCGTGGTTCTTTAATTTGAGGAAATTGGTACTGGAAAGTCCTTGAAAGGTCCTTGAATTTGATGTTGACCAAGGTGTGAGAACCCTGATTAAGACTTTGTTATGGACCCCTTTGTGGGAGTTTTATTCAAATCCTTCCAGTGGTTCATGACATGTTTTGCTAACACATTAAACATAACAAACACACAGAGGGATGTGCAAAAACAAAATCGCCCTTTTGTGTTTGATGGCGGGCGATAATTTTCCTTGTTTCGGCTCTTTGGTTGACCTTTGTAAGCAAAAATACTAAAGCTTTGACCTTATACTTTATCATCTGTCAGTGAGAACCAAAAAAAAAAGTGATGGAAAGGCTGAGAGCTCCAGAAAGAGCGAGACAGCAGAAATGAAAGAAAGTAAAAAGATCGCTCTGAACCAAGGAGGAGAATGACAGTCTGAGAGCATAATGAAGGAAATTTAATCCGGATGATGTGGAGTTTTGATAACACAGTGGAGTCCTTTATCGTGGGCACTCTATTTGACAAAAAGGCCATTTAATACCATCCTCAGAGCGTTCTATCTTCTCCCCATAGAAATGTAACAAAAGAACCACTTTTTATGACTTCTAAATAGTCCGATTAGAGCAACAACTGAAAATATAATTGCCGCAGTTTTTCTTCTACTAAACTTAAGCTGGATGTTTATCTAAAAAAGTCAAAAATTAACAGGCACACGTAAAACTTTTTTAAACGAATGCTCATATTGTTCCCATTTCAGACCCTTTTAATGTCTCAGAAGATCAGTCTTAAAGGTGAAAAGGAGGAGGGACACATCCCCGACTCAGCGTGTCAAGACCACATGATCGGTAAGATCTTCTTTCTCACATCACTTTGACTTTTTTTTCTTCATCTTTCTTGTTTTTAATCCCACTGCCTTTTCAACACCAGAGCATTACCACATTTTTCCGATGGAGTTTCCCCTGTCTCTCTGGCTTCAACAAATCCTGAGCAGTATTAACAAGCATCTCTAAAACGTCTCTTTTTTTCTTTCTGACATTTTCCTTATTTCCTCACATAAAACACTGAGACTTACTCTTGTTTCACAGGACTATGGCACACATTCAAATAATTTGTGTTGTAGGCTGGCTCTCAAAATAGTCACAAAATCATCAGTCTTATTACTTTACTTAACTTTGGTCCCTTCCAACAGGTAATTTGTATGTTGAACGTTTGTACTTGGAACAAATTGTCCTGTTAAAAATAATGCAAATGTAAATAATTTGCTCGTTTGATCTCTCAAATAAACCTGCACCTCCTCTCTGTAACGGTCATTTCATGGTGAGGCAGTGTGTAAGAAGCACTGTGTGATGAAACGAGCAGCAACAAAACCAGAAAATGAAAAGAGCTTCAGCCAACGACCTCTTTAAAAGAGCTGCGGCTGGAAGACCGGGTCCAGAGTCAAGACTGGCAGAACTCATCATTATTGTGTCACGATTAACAAGAAACGATCCACTGGTATCTGCTTCTGTCTGCACGGTGGCTCAGTTGGTAGAGCTGATGTCTCTCAGCAAGAAGGTCACTGGATCGAATCCCGGCCCGTGGACCTTTCTGAGTAGAGTTTGTCTGTTCTTTCTGTGCATGTGTGGGTTTTCTCAGGGTACTCTGGTTTCTTCCCACAGATCAAAAACATGACTGTTAGGTTAAAGGAGACCAATTATGGGTCCTAGAAATTTTTATGGTATGTCTGTAGGCTATCCAGACCATGTTCATTCAATTTAATGCACAAAATAATTCTCAGATAATAAAATTTCCCATTTTCTAGTTCTGCCTGCTCTGATTTCCATTCAGAAGAGCTGTTTATGTTAATGAGCTCTGTTGGTAACGCCCTCCAAAAATCTGTTGACATTAACTCCGCCCTCCAAAGCCAGTGTTTACGTTAGCATGGCTAATAATAGCAGAAGCTCCGTTGTACAACCATATGAGAGACCCAGAGGGAGAGTCGTGGTCGCAGGTTCTTTCTTTTTTTTTCTCTCCCTCCTCTGCTCTGCGCTCACTCTGCATGCTGTAACCAGAGCAGGGAGCAGCAGCGGTCAAAATACCTCAGAAACTTGAACAAATAGGCTTTAACAAGGCTTTAATAAGCTAAACAATAGAGGTACATGAGAAAATGTGTTCATAACGAACAAAAATAAATAAATAATTAAATTGTGTCCATGCCGGTCTGAAACCCTGGTCTCCCACTCTCTGGTCCAACGCTCTACCCATTGCCCTATTGGAGGCTTGTTGTGAAATGAGCTGCGTGACGGCTTTTTATATTGAGGAGGTGGAGCTTTACCCGGGGGTTGCTAGGTGAGGGGCTGAACACAGGTTCTGGTGGGTTGTCGTACGGCTTGTGGCATCACAAAATGACGGGAGTATAAAACTTGTCGTTAATATACATTAAAAATACATTTACTGTACTTACAGTAAATATGCCCCTGGGTGCATGTTTTTGGTCCTAGGACTGTTTTTTAAGAAGTACATACACAAAGTTGAGTAAAAAAAACTTTAAGAAGTGAATTTTTCAGAATAGGTCCCCTTTAACTGAGAGAGTGAATGGTTGTATGTGTCTCTGTGATGGACTTATGACCTGTCCAGGGTGTACCCCGGCCCTCGCAGAGTGACTGCTGGATATGTTCACCAGTGACCCTGAAAAGAAGCAGCAGATATAGATAATGGTTTGATGGATGATTATGCAGATATGGGAAACACATGGACTCGTCTAGGCAAACGTTTACAAAATATTTTAGGTCAACCAACGAAAAAGTAGCCAGCAATAATGTGTCTCAATTGAGGTTTTATTTAGCGATTTTTGCTGGCAGCCATCAACTTTTCAACCCTGTGCCTCTATGAAACCAAATTGCAACTGAATAGAGATGAAAAAAGATTTGCCATCACCACTGAAACACTAAAATGGGTTTGCGTATTGCTCGCAGAAAAATCACTATAGTCTCAGTTAGGAACACTGCAAATGTGTCATGTTTTTTTTTTTTTTGTTTACTTTCTCGCAATTTTGTCTTCAACTAGCCACCAAAGGAGATGCTCGCTGACAGAAATACTGTTATTTTAAAATGTTTAGGTGGAAAGGTTATGAACAAATAATATTTAACCTGTTGGAGATGGCTCTTTAAACAGCCTAAGTTTGTAAAAATGTTTAGTTCGGCACGAAGAGCTAACGACTAAAGTTGACTGAGCATATGGTTTTAAATAGGGGGACAACAATACATGTACCCGTATCGAATCGTTCAATACAATGCTTTAGGTTTAATGCACACTTGTATCGAACAATAGGTCTTCTGAAGATGCTCAGTGTTGAAGGATCAGTGGATCTGTGTTCGACTACTCCACCTAGGCTGCATTTTTGAGCACAGATCCACTGAGAAACTTGCTGTTTCAGCAACATTTAATTTAAAAATTGCACTTTTGAGGTTAAACAAATGTTCATAATTGATTTAAATAAATTACAAGTTAAAAAGGGCATGGACATTTCTCTTTTTTGTATCGAAAAAATATCGAACCGTGAGACTAAAGCACTGAACCGAACCGAATCGTGAATTTTTCTCTGTCGTTGCACCCCTAATTTTAAATATGTCACACCAATTCATGCAAGCATTATTCTATTAACCTTTACATTGCTATTATTTTTGCAATACATGGAGATTTATATACTTGTAAGCTAACTCATAGCTGCATCAGCTAGTTGTAGTACTTGCAGAAATTCCTGCAGAAATCTAATAAAACCTGTATAATACAAATAAATGACGCTGTAAATCTTTGAGACCTGACGTTTCCACTGTTGATTGGGTTAGCCGTTAGCTCGTCAGTCCGGTTCCAAATTCCACTTGATTTCCCCAAACTGCAGGCATTCAAAGAGACATCTACAGCACATAAGATATTATTGTTCATAACCTTTCCACAGAACCCCACTTCTAAGGAGCTTGACTGTCGGCCCAGCTGCCTCCGACAGAAACAGGAAAATCCAGCCAGGCAGTTTATGTTGCACCCAGGTCTCTTTTTTTTTTTCTTTACAGCATCTGAGCAACCATAAAGTAAAAAATCTAGAAGAAATATGAGATTGGATTAGGGCTGGTTTATTGCAGCGCAGCAAACTTGCTTTGTGGAGCTGAATAGAGCGTACGGGAGGAAAATGTGTAGCTACTGTTTACAGGGACTGCTGCAGGAAGTTTATCACGCGGATGAAAAATCTTATCAATAATCGCTTTGAAAGCTTCTCAGGCTGCTGGGTCTTGTAATGTAACAACATAGTTGAAGTATGTGTAGATAACGTAGGGCTTGCTGTAGCTCTTTAGAAGAAAGTGTTTAATTTTCTGGAAGTTTTATWTAATTTGAGTCCCCTACTGTGGAGACACAGGTTTAATTTTCTTGGCGTTAATATGAGTCGAACTCGAAAGATTTGGTGATTGTTGGCTTCACACCAGATGTCCTTCCTCGCAGTGGAACATAGTAAACATATCAAGTGTTTAGGCTAAGAAATTGTCATATAAGGTACAATTTAAATTTAATTCAACTAAGTTTCAAAAAGGTTGGAGTGGGGGTCATGTTTTCTTTTAACAGACTGTAAACATCTGGAATGTCGACCAGTTGCTGGAGTTCTGTCCGTATCAAGGCATATGTTGTTCTGAACCTGTTTATACTTTTTGCATTGATGCATACACTGCCAAGGCCAGAGGCACTAATGCACCCCCATACCATCAGAGAGACAGGATGAATGGTCCTCCTTCTCTTTAGTGTGGAGGACGTGGTTTATCTGACCACAAAACTATTTCCCACTTTGTCTCAGTTCATTTTAAATGAGCTTTGGCTCAGAGAAGACAGAGGCGTTTGTGGACGGTGTTTACATGTGGCTTCTTCTTTGCACGATAGAGCTTTAAGCAGCATTTGTGGACACAGCACCGTGAGCTGTGTTTACAGATTACAGATTTGATACAGAGACCTGTTTTGATACAGAAAACTCATTCTAAAACTGTTCCATTATTTTACACAATTTTATGTTGACTATGTTCCATTTTTACTAAAATATAGGTTTGAGATTTGCAAATCATTATATTCTGTTTTTAATACATATACTGTGTATATAAACCAAGCTATTAAATCAAATCAAATTTATTTATGTAGCACTTTTAAAAATAACTAATTTGTGCTGCACAAAATAAAATAGAAAAAAAAAACAATACTGAACACAAGAGACCGCAAAAACGAACAAAAATTAAAATGTTAAAAAATTTAATAAGACATCAAATAAAAGAATTGAAATCATGTGGGGGCCAAGGCTGTGAGAAGTATGGGTGCAGAGGTTGCTGCAACACAGAGGTCACGCAATGTTCAAATGAGTGTTGCGCATGTTTTAATCTCAATGTAGTTTATAAATCAGCTCTGTTATTGTGTGGTAGTGTGTAGATTAATATTAGGGTATGATTAACACTTGAGATTAAAACACAGAGTGTAGGCAAAACAAATTATGAAGTGTGACAATAAATGTAGTTTCTATGTTATGCATAATGCAATGATCAAATGTGACAATGTTTAGTAAATTATATCCACGGCGTTAGCTCCTGAGCTGATACTTATCAAAAAAGTAAGGAAATGTGTGTTTGGTAGATTATTTCTTTGTTGTAACAATGCTTCTTGGCAATAAATCTCATATCAGGCACCTGATTGGCAGCACAGGTGACAGCAGAAGCTCAAAAGCAGAGTCAATAGAAACAACAAAATAAGCCATTTGACAGAGCTTTGGCAGACTTTTCATGTGCACAACCCACATACTCAGCTCGACTGCTCATCCCATAAACCTTACAAATGTAGCACAGCAGGCTTTTTAACGTTGTAAGAGATATTGACACGAAGCATTGTTAGATCAAAGAAATAATCTACCAAACACAAATTTCCTTAGGTTTTTGCTAAGTTTAAAAAAAAATAGCTTGGGTAACAAAAGCTAAAAGGCTCAAACTGAGGTAAGGGGAGTCTTCCATGAAGCAGCTCTGTTGTCCTCCATCATTATTTCCATTTGCAGGCTGAGTCTTTTCTACATTCTCTCTGTACACTTTATGTAWAGATGTAGTTGAAGTTCCCCTTAAGTAGAACTTCTAACTGAAGATTTATCTTCCATGTAATTCATCAAAGTTGTTCATGCAGGCTGAAAACGTGACTTAAGTTAGATTCATTGCACCRTAAACTAAACAGGTTAATTGTTTTTCTTACATTCTGCCAACTCAGCGCTTCCACTAAGTTTGAATTAAACCGTCTCCTCATTTCTGTAAAAACGTTTCTGCTCTCCGGCTAAACGCCATCAATCATATCCAGAGTTTACTGAGTTGGCCCGAGATGCAGGCAGAGCTCAGGTWATGGATGTGAGTTTTTGGAGTCCACTCTACATCGTCCATTTCTTGTATCAAAGAACTTCCCTCCAGGCTGTTTTTCCCTTCACAAAAAAGGGACAATAAAAAACATTTTGACTGACTCAGAGCCTAAAATGGACCTAATACATCTGCACAGGTTGGATGCCATTGCTGATCAATGCCAAAAGTTTTAGCTTTTGCTTCTTCGGGTGTTCAAAATTGCCTTTTCAAAGCCCTGCATTATTTGGATTTTTCAGATGGCTTCAGGCAGCTAAAAGTGTTCTGCTGGAGCTCTATTGTCTCTGGAAACTGGTGCCTATTACGGAACCGTGACTTTGGAATTAGCATCAACCTGCTGTTGCCTTTTCATCTGATTGTTGTCTCCGTGATTACTCTTTCTTTCTTTCTTTCTCTCTTTCTTTTTTCTCCTCCTTCGCTGCACAGAAGCCCGTTCCACGCAGTGAAACAGCTTTCTCCCTCTAACCCTGCAGGTTGTGTACAGAAGCGATAGGGAGCTCATGAAAAACAAAATTACGTCCAGTTGTTTTTGCCGCTGGGTAGAATTACCGTGGACCTTGTTATAGTTTGGATATAGAGGGCATTTTGAACTGCCAGGCTTGGCATTCAATTACCCAGCAGCGTAATCGATGGTTTGCTTTCCCTTTTCTCTTTCCTACACTGTGATTTTTATTTTTACTTTTTTTAGTTAAGAAACCTCTTTCTTGCTTATTTAATTTCAGTGTCCTCRTGTGTTTCACAGCACATGTGTGCAAAAATGACAGGCCATCTGCTCGGTGGACATGGCGTCTCTGTGCATCTGCACACCAAGACTCATTTTCACAGATTCATTCGTACATATAAACAGGATTATACCCCCCCCCACCTCTTCACAAACTCCTAAACTCTGAAACCCGAAGGAAAAACTCAAACACTAATGCATTTAAAGAAAACTCGGCATTTTTAGTGTTTATAGCCTATTTGTGCCTCTGTGTCCCATTCAGAAAAACCTTTATAGTTAAAGAATTTCATCTCACACAAGTAAAATGGAGGGGGGAAAAAACACTGGTAAGCTTTAAGACTTGGAGACAAAACTGATGCTAACAGAAATTTTTTTTACCTCAAAGTTCACCAGTGAATGATTGGGTATAACCACATAGATATGAGTAACAGCTGTACAAAAAATAAATGATATTTTTTATCTCAACTGTCCAATCTTTACTAAGATTTCAAAATCATAGCATTTCCCGCTGTGAAAAAAACTTGGAGCTAATGGGATTTTTAAAAATAACGTAATTTTTAAATCAGCTGACTCGCTTCTGCTTTGAACATGGAGTAGAACAGAGATAAACACTATAATATGAAATTAATTTAAAAAAAACAGCATTCCTTGAAGAAATGTGCTTAAACCGTTGCTTAGTCCAACATTTAAACACATCTTACATGATTGTTGGCCCTCAAAATACGTGWTGGATAAGTTTTAGCTACTGTTAGCTCAATGTTTGTAAAAAACAGATGAGTTAAAGGCATTTGTGTTTGCCAAGGTCCATTAGCAGTGGCAGCCATCTTGAATAAGCTTACAGACCACTGATAGCAGTGTTATCCCCACATTACTGGACTTGGCTATATAATAAACTGTGCTAATATTGAGGGCTGCAGTCTCAACCTGAGCCTGCAGGTTTGTGCCCAGATTGCATCAGGAAAGSCAACAAGTTTAAAACAAATGGCAATCCTTTTGTCTGAAATTTGCTTGCTGTGGCAACCCCCACAGAGAGGAGGAGCCAAAAACAACCACAACAGACTGTGCTAACATTAGCTTAAGAAGGGTGACTCAGATGTCACAGGATACCCCTTTTTTCAGAAAAAAAAGGAAAATGATACATCTGAATACCCCAGCAATTAATGGATAAAGGCGCCTATGTATGGCATAGGTCCCCTCAYCCTCTTCTTTCTGGGGTATTCAGATATTTTATTGTTCCTGTATTTTGGAAATAAAGGAAGCCAGATYAGGTTTGCTAACGATAATTAGCAAAATGATGACTTAAACCCAAAGGTAGAAAGCCTGGCTTTGGGGCAAATTGTGGACTCWAATGCAGGCACATTTACACCTAAACCAAAGTATAGGCAGTCTAAAGAGTAAAAACATAACATGACATCAAGAAAACAGAATCTGACATAAGCACAAGTTTACTGAAGGGTTTGATGAGTGGTTATAAAAAAAGTGAAACACAGTCAAACATGAAGCAAAAACCAGCCTTGTACCAATGAAAAGGTGCTATCAAATACAAGGAAGGAGAAAAATATTAGTTTACTACAGTTCTCACAGCTAATCAACAATAGCAAACACAAAMATTTGGGCACCAACCGCCAAATTTACAGGTTTTGAGGTAAAATTTGGTATGTGAGTAGCTGAGAGTCAGCCCCTACACATACTCTCTGATTAAACCTTTGACATGCAATGGTTGGTCTATTTAGATATTATTTATAGATACATGGACTTTTGCAGAGTTGAAATGCTTTTGATCTCCTCAAAACTCCATCTGTTCCACTGRTTCTCATTTCTTCTTGACATGATGGAGCTGTGGAGTTTTTTACCCAGYGTGACAGAATTTCCATCAACTGTTCACTGATGCTTTTTCTCTTCTTTCCAACCTAACCTGCTGCAGATTCCCTGTTTGCTCACAATCCCTTCCGCTGCATGTAAATCCACACCCTCCCCCTTCTGTACCCTACCCTTTTGTTGTTGTTGTTGTTGWTGTTGTTTCCCAGACGTCACATTCCTCTCCCTATCCCTCTAGACTCCAGCTGTCAGATGAGAACTCTGGACAGTGGCATCGGCACCTTCCCCCTCCCTGATTCCGTCACCCGAGCCAGCGGTCGCCACATCCCCAAATCYGAATCCAGCCCGGGTGCGGTGACCGCCAGCTCCTCCGAGCTCCGACAGGAATCGTCATCTTCTCACCCCGACCCCTCACAACCTGACGTGAAAGTGCCTTCCCTTCCAAAACCCCACCTGCACACCCCTTCCACCACCTTGGGCCACTCCCTGTCCGACCCCACTGTGATCTGCAGCCGAAACACCCAGGAGACACAGAGCCGCCTGCCCAAACTGGCATCATCAGGTCAGTCATCCTCCAGAGGATGGATGGATGGATGGATGGATGATGGATGGATGGATGGATGGATGGATGTATAAATGGATGGATGGATGGATGGATGGATGGATGGATGGATGTTTAACTTGTTATTCTGAATGTTTGCTCTTACATTGGTTGTATTTGTGCTTTAATGATGTCAAACACATACAGGCTCAACTCTGTCCATGTTTTTTATAACTGTCTCAAAATCTCATTTTACATTTGTAATGTGATTTTTCACATCCTCATATTGGTGTTGTTTTATTTAATTTCCATTTTTGCACAGTGATGTAGGCAAAACCATAGGCAAAATTTTTCACTAAAAATAATTGACATGAAAATAAAAAGACATATTCCAACATCCGTGCCTTACAGGAATGCAGATCATCTGCATTTCTGTGGTGGGCGAAAATAAATAACACTGAGAACTTACAATTAAAATAAAAGTAACTTTTGAAAGGTTATAAAATAAAACCGCTCAGCAGTACACAACATTTGCACATCAAATAAACGTTCCTCACTTGTATCAATTAAGAGCTAGTGTTAAAGTACAGATGTTTAGTATAGAAGAAATACATTTCCTCTCAGACACTAACAGGCTTGTTCAATTCATTCATTCATTAACAGGTCTCTTTTGGAAGTGAGTTTCTGGATCTCAATGAGACTGCCTGTATAAATAAAGGTCAAATGAAAAATAAATAAATAAATAAAAAAATTTGCTAACCGCCAGTCCAGTAACTAATAAATTAGCTTTGCAAATGCTAAACCACTAAATGGGTAAGAAATTTAGCAGAAGCTAACACTAACTGATAACCACTAACTCAGGATCTGTCATTTAAACATAGAYGKGTTATATCCACAGAAATGTGAGAATCTTGGCTAAAATCTCATTAAAAAACATTTCTACGTCAATCAAACATTTACATCCACAAGTGGTTAAATTGATAAGAAAACAAACTGCACAAAGTGGGAAAAGAGCAGGAAAGAAATCTACTATTACCATGTTAGATGGCTTAAACTTTGTTTGTCTTTCAGGAAATAGTTGAAAGATCGGACGTTGCTGTAGTTCGTGTTGCCACATTTTCCTCCTGAGTGCCCGGGTGTCTAAAGATGAGAGGAAGTTGTCTGCTTTATTAAACTCTGATTAAACTGAGAACCTCGTTTGCTCAGCTAATTAAGAGGCGAACACACTGACGTCGACATGTGATTCTCACCTGAGATCGTTGAGGCCAAGACGTTTGCGTGCCTCAAAAAAACAAAACCCCCCAAACAACAACAACGAATGCAATTAGATAAGCGTGTCAGCACAGCTATAGATCATAAAGGCGCCCTGTGCCTCAGCACCGGGCATGACGCACGGCAGAATGGTTGATTAAAGCTACAATAACACTCAGAGATTTATGCCTGCAGGACGTTAGGCTGCATCTATATCACCTCGATAACACTGAAGAGGCAGGAGATCGACTCGCCACTACAGAACAAGTTGATATGAAACTCAAACGGTTTTAGCTCTATCATTTCTACTGTCAATGGGGAAAATAAAATCTGCAATTTACCTGAAAAGACCCAGTGTCTGTCACGGTGTTTGAAGGGAGGGGGGGAAAGGGCGAAGACTTTTTCAGATGCAGACAAAAGCAGCCTGTTATTCTAACGCAGCTGACAGTCTCTCACATAAGAGAAGCTTCTGAAAGTGAGACAATTAAAGCGGCGCCTCTCTGAGATGGCGGTAGGTAGAGCGATAATAAGGCCTCAGGCAGAACCATCAAAGACTGGACACCATTAACACAGCATTGTGGAGATTTTGGGGCAGAAAAATGGATGCAGAACAAGTCAGATATGGGTTTTAGTTGAATCAGTTTGCCAGCTGGATGGGAAAAAAAAATTCAAGTCCACATATTTGTGTTTCTACTAATCATTCCTCATTAACCTCTCTGCGTTTACAGATGCAATCAGGACAAAGAGGTTGAGTCTTGGTGCCCAATGCAGCAACATCGCAGGTTCTACTGAAGACAAGGAAAAAGAAAAGGAGAGGAAGATAAAACCCAAGGAGCCCGATACAACCGGTGTACGTCAACAGACCACTGAGTCCTAAATTGTCTAAACATAAGAAAATCTCTCATAAATCAGTAAAGGCCTAACACTCCTTAAAGGGTTGCACATTAAGATATTTTACTTGTTTGATCAATTGACRCTCAGGGAATCATTTTTGGGAGAGCAGAATACTGCACTTTCCAGTTTTGCTGAAGTAACTTTTTCCTCTTTGTTGGTTTTTAGCAAACAACCCTTCGAGTGTGCAGGTACTCTGGCAGCAGCAGCGACACCGAGACCGAGTCGGAGCAAACAGGAAGCACCGTGTCCTCGCCGCAAAGAGCCCCGATCGACAGAACCAAGAGAACTGACTCTGGTCTGCTTGAGATCATTTCTCTCCACACTGTTTACAAATGCAGATAGATTAGTTTGTACACTTCCATTACAGAAACCCTCAAATTTCACTGGATTAACTTGAAACTTTGCTAATTTGAGGAAGCTAAGGACAGAGTTGTCCAGGAAGCTTAGAAAGAAAATCAATCACCAGCATATTGAAGTCAACGGGTATAAGACCATCTCTAACAGCTTGATGTTCCTGAGACTACAGCTGCACAGATTCTTCAGAAGTTTAAGGTCCACAAGACAGTAGCCAACCTCAACCTATAATACGAATCATCATCAAATAATCCAGAACAGCTTCCAAGGAGATTAGAGGTAAACTCCAAGGTTCAACAGTGTCATATCACATTATTTTTGAACCAAAGTGGACTTAATGAAAGATTATAGAGGAGGACATCAAATTATAAAAACAAGATGGGAATTTACCAAAATACATATTGCAAAGCCATAAAACGTCTGGGACAATGTACTTTGGACATATGAGACAAAACTGGAGCATTTTGTCCCATCAACTCTATTCAAAGACTCAAAAATGAAGCAAAGAAAAGAACATGGTCTCTACTAGTGATGTCTTACCAGCACTGATACTGAYATCAGCATCAGGCCCAACAYTGTCCTTTCTACAAGTASTCATGCTTGTACAAAATGCCCAGKACCGATACCAAAACTGCTGTGAATACTGCAGGGAATGTGTTGCAGCTTACATTTCAAATGAAAAGTTTGTCAGTACCAATTAAAAGAAAATTTTTCTTATATTTGTTTTACAATGTTACAACAGTACATAGCATGCTGTGTTTTTGATTTGATCCAGTCAGAGGGTCTGTAGGCCTATAAGGAAGCAGAGGCACCTTGTTCTATATAAAATAAATGTGTCTTTAAAGTCATTGTGTAATGTTTAGGTTCTAACTCAGTAAGTACGCTGTATCGGTATTTGGTATTGGCGAGTACACAAACTCTACTACTTGTACACATAGTTTGAGAAAAACTGGCATCGGGACAGCTATAGTACCTACAGTGAAAAGTTAAGGAGGCTCAGTTCTGCTCTGAGGCTGATTTGCTGCATCTGRCCTGATGTGTCTTGAATCTGTGCAGGGTACAATAAAATCTCAAGACTATCRAGACAATATGGAGTAAAATGTGGTGGCCAGTGTCAGAAAGATTGGTCACAGATTCTTGAGTCGTCCAAAAGGATAATGAACAAAAAACACACAGCTGAAAACATCCAAGAATGGCTCAAAAACAACCACTGATTTTCATTAGTTGGTTTCTTGTAAATTTGACCTTCGTGTTACTTTAAAGTTTCAAGTTATTTCAGTGACCTTTGTKGGKTTTTCTTTCTTGAACCAAAGKGTACAAAMCAATTTATCCCCTTCAGAACGTATAATCCTCTGACTTTGCACTGGTTTTGATTGAAACCGTTCTTTCCGTTCACAGCGGAGCTGAGTGAGGACACTCTGAAGAGGCGAAGCGTGGAGAGATCCTTGTCGATTATGGATTACTACCAACACGAGGTGTTCAAGGACAGCAGGAGGATTTCCCAGTACAACTTGTTGCACAAAGAGTCATCTCTCGATGCCAAAGCAGGAGAATGGCTCAGTGTGAGTATTTCTTTATCCACTTCTTTTTCCCCCCACTGCTGACATTGTTTACACTCCAAGGTCTTCTGCTTCCTGCTTTTGGGATTGTTTGTAGATTTATTTATTTTTTTTAAATAGAAAACGCCTCCTAATTGCTTTCGATCGCCTCAGCCTCTCCTGTCAGCAGGTATTTGCCTACGAGTATTTAACGTAGCTGAAAGACAAATGAGGGTCAGAGAGCATGAAATGGCCTCCAGCCTGAACGGGACGGCTCCGTGGGACAGACGGACCCTCCCAACAACGGACTCTGACACAAAAATCCATACTCTGCAAGCAAAACCTCTGACTAAACACAACTTTTCCAAAAACACATAAAACCAATWGTTTATGTGAAGTGGAGAGGAAAAAAAACATCTAATTTAATGTGGTCCACTCGTTCTTAGCGCATCAGATCAGTTATTTAGAGGTTATTCAGAATTTATTCTGCAGGTTTTAGGTTTAAGTGCTGTTTTATAAAGCTAAACTGTCTTCTCAGCAGAATGTTAGGACACACACTGGATTAAAAAGGCAAAAACCAAAAAGATTCTAATTAACTCTACTTAATTAAACTGTTAAAATGCTCTGTACTATTGTAAATTCAGTCCAAGTAAACAGAAAAATGCTGATGTTAATGAGGAAAAGGCACAAATATTTCATCTTTGCATCACAATTAGCTGCTTTTTTAGCAACTTTGTTTAAGTTTTTCAATTACAAGTAAATCAAACATTAAGTTTATCCTGAAGTTTATCAGATGATACGATTTGAAAGAGTTTACTTAGGTAGTTTTCCAAATATACTGATATGTGATACTGAAATACAGTGGTATCTTGACTTGAGTGTCCCAACTAATAGATAAATAATAATAATGCATTAGTCTTATATAGCATTTTTAAGACCCTCAAAGATGCTTTACAATTTCATTTCATGCATCATTTATTCACTCATGCATTCACACACTGATGATGGTAAGCTACAATGTAGCCACAGCTGCCCTGGGGCACACTGACAAGGGGGGGCTGCCTTTAGGCTTGGGCGGTATGAAGGTATTTTGTTGTATAGCAGTATCAAAATATGATGACGGTATAAAAGAATGATGACAGTATGAGTCACGTGAGGTGAAGCACATTTGAAAGCTGGAACAAACATTTCAGAAGATGCCCCGCGTTGTTATTAGCTGCGTTTCCATTGACCATGAAAATGCGCAAATTATAATTTCGTAAATAAATTTGCTTAATGGAAACATGTCAATTTCGAAAAAAACGTAAGTTTTTTGACAAAATGTTTTTGCTCTAGGATGAGGTGGTTTATCAGCCTTATCAAAATTGGTGTTTTTCGCAAAACTGCAATGGAAACACTTTTTCACACCATGGGAGTCACGTGATCAAGAACCGGCTGTTTCTACTGGCGAAAAAAGACGACGAAGAAGATAACAGGAAGTAGAAGTAGTAGTAATGTCACCGACTACAATTTCCCAAAAAGGCTGCATACGTCACCGCTCCCAAATATAAGGGGACTTGTCGCTCGAAAGCCTCGATAAGACGCCAACGTCCCTGATGATGGCTGATGATGAGCGCTAGTGTCGTGGTAGCAATATGCATATATTTACATCTGTTGCCACCATGTTTGTAATGACTTATCGCACGAACAAACATATTCACGCGTGACTTTTATAGCATTTCTTACTTAATGGAAACACCGCAATTGTGAAACTATGTTTTTTCGACATAAACAGAATATCGACAAAGTTTTGTGCACATTTGCAATGGAAACGCAGCTAGTGTCGCATGTTCTGATCACCTCATCTCATTCTGATAACAAACAGAAGGGAGGGGGGAGCAGAGACATCCTCGTCTGTCGTGCCTCCGTGGGGGGTGAAAAATAAAAATTCTGAGCAGCCTTGCGTGCAGCCAGACATGTTCAGACACGTTACTCCTTGCTGGCTCCCAAAAGATGGACTTGCACTGACAGACAGCTTCTCAGACCAACCAGCCACGAGTTTCTTAAGTMAGGCAAAGAGTGGGACTCCTTTCAGATTTAAACTTTCTGTGATTTWWWTTTTYSRMC